TTCCAGTCCTCGGGCACCTCCCCTGCTCTCCAGGACCTCTCAAAGATGATGGAGAGAGGCTGAGCAATAACCTCAGCCAATYCCCTCAGCACTCTTGGGTGCATCCCATCTGGGCCCATAGGTTTTTGAGTGGCCAGTTTGTCTAAGTGATCCCTAACCCAATCCTTCTCAACCAGCRGAAGGTCTTCCTCTCGCCCATTTATATCTCTTCCACTTGAGCCCTGCAGTCCATGGGGAGTGGTCTGCAAATGCAGTAGCTCAGCGCAGTATCCGGTTCCCAYCTCTTGAATTCTGCTTTCTCCATGGCTCTCAGAATCAGGTGCAAACAGTCAGCTTTATGATTGTGCCCTATGGCGTATTTTTAGCTTCCTGCTCACTTGAGCTGGCTTCAAAAGGCTGCATGTAACTCTTAGAGCACTAAGAGAGAGGGTGACAGTGCCCTTTGATCTGCTCTAATGTTCTGCTTTGACCAGAACTACGCTACAGTGTGCTTTATATCCCAGCAGGTAGTGGAGCTAGCCTGGAAACATATGAAATAGTAATAGTATAGGGTATGGCAGAAAATTAAGTTTTGTACATAAATTGGCAAGTCTTCGAACTCATATGTCCCTCTAACTGATTTTATATTTTTATGATTATGTGACAAAGAGGATAAAATATTACTTACTCTGATATCCACAGGAGATATTGGTTAATTGTGGAATATCACAAATTCATAGGAATTTCATTGATATTTAAGATTTAGAGTATTTATTTTAGAGTATTTTAGAGCATTTTAGAGTATTTATTTAGAGTATTTATTTTAGTATTTATTTTATTTTAAAGTATTTAAGATTTAAGTATTTATTTAGAGGAAGTGTCTTCTACATCTGATAGAGGGCCAGGAGAAATACTAAGAGCAAATAAGTGAAGGATATTTGGCTRTGGCTGTATATATGCAAAGCTCTTCTAACTTGCTTTCATTTTATAGATGACCAAGATGAATTTGTTTTTCAAGACATTGAAATAAATTAAGCAAATTTTTAATGCAAGTTGAGTTTCTGGGTGGGGGAGCTTTCTGTATATGGCTTATAAACAGTTAAAGAATATTTTAAAATGGACTCCAAGTTAAATTCACACTGGAATGGTTTGGGCCAGATACTGTGCATGAAATGCTGAGAAAACTTGTTTTATGTTAAAGAAGCTTAGCAAGTAGATAGCCAGGAAAACGCATGATGCATAAGAAAATAAATACTGTAGAGAATAAAAGTAATCTACCTTCTTGCTCTGGTGTTGATATTGGAACTTTCTTCTGTGCCAGAAAAGGGCCAAAAGCAGCTGCTTCTTTAACCTTGGGAACTAAGAAAATAAGTAGTCAAATGCCAAATCATCGAAGGAGCAGAAAATGGAAATTTGTTCCCCTATACCAGTTGACATAATTTTCAAATAACAAAGCGTATGTGTTTTCCACCACCAAACTCACATCCCTAACTCCTGTTATACACTAACTCTTAACTTCCTTTTCCTGCAAAATTGTCAAAAATTTCTGTGTGTATATGTCAAAGAACACACCAGTAAAGAAGCCCTGAAGGCAGGTACAGAGGTGCTGAGCAGAAAAAAAAGAGACTCCTGCAGTGTTTAAGACTATCAGATGAATTGTTACGAGCTTGTCTTCTCTTGTTGCCYTTGCAGCATTCTCCTTACCCAGACCATTGCATAAACCACCTGCATTATGTTCTTACTTAAGACAAGGATCAATGTCTCACTCTGCATAGTAATATATGTCTGCATATACACATAAAGAAATAGATGAGAGATGTTAAATTCACTGTCAYGCACTTAGTCTCACTTTTAGTAAAAGAGGTCCAGGCTATAAAAACTCTTGTCAAAATGAAGAAAGTTATTAAAATATGAAAAGTTCTGGGAAAAGTGGAGCTATTTAATGAAATACAAAACCTCCTGAATGATTTATTTACTGAGTTATTAAATTATACTAGAATTCACTTGACAGTTATACATGCAGGTGTAGCTATGTGCTGCAGATGCTTGAAATGAAGAAAGTTCATGCACATAAAAAGTAAAAGGAGGGAAACTTTGCATCCATATCTGTTTTTGGTTTGAGTCTCAGGCATTACATTCAAGTTTCCACCCACTGAAAGATATCATCAATGTTTTAGGAGAAACTGTAAGCTCCAGATATACAGAATATAAATATAAGTAAAAAGTTTCACATGGTCTCTCATATAAGCATGATTTAGATAACTKTAATTTGTGAGAATCATTGTTTCCCTGCAGAACAGACTGTAATGTATGCAGTAAAAAGGTCAATGCTATGCTATTTCTGACCTCAAAACTGCATGCATTGGATAGGACTACTCTATCCAACCTGGGCATCCAATTCAGAYGCAAATATACTTACATTTTAAGTCCATTAGTAGTCCTATCCTCCTAAAGAGTCTAAGTTATTTATAATAAATGAAGAGAGAACAAGTGGCTCAGGAACAGTGGGAAGGCAGTGTTGTGGAGCACAGTTTGGTGTTGCCTCTCTGCTCTGACTGAATTTGAAATATCAACTTCTTGCAGAGCCTAGTACCCACTTCAGTCAGACCTGGGTCACATCTTTCTCAACACACTACCTAAGACTAACAAACTGGACCAAGTGCCTGTGTATTCCTATTCACTCAGAACCTGAACACCTGCTGGGCTTTTGGAGACTGCCTCTTTTATAAAGAACTCTTGCCCATGAATGAGGGAAGAAAGAGGAATGACAGCATATGCAAATGGAGTCCCATCTGGCGAGGATAAAAAAAAGGCTTTCAAGAAGGCCCCCTTCTTGGAATGTGCCTGCATTGGATCATCACAATTGGACACAACCAGAACCCAAAGTTCACCCTCTCCTAAGAGCTAGGAGTTAGACTTGCTCTTGTCAGCTCTTCTGCTGTACGATGGTACCTGCAGAAATACTCATCTTCCTAAAGAGACCTCATCTCCTAGTATGTAAAAATGTGTTCTTACCAGGTAAAACTTACAAAGTCTCCATTTACACATACCAGATTCTATCTATTCTTCCTGTACTGCCAGCATCCACCATCTGTATATTAGCAGCACTAATTGTTATATAATCTACAGTTATATACAAAACCCTTTGTATGTAGTGCCACATATTCTGAAATGTTTGTCTGGTCATGATACTCTTTTGAGATAAGAGGGCTTATCTTATGAACAACAATTAGTGGCAGAGAGAATGAGGCCCATATCTTCAGAGGCGCTTATATAACTAACTCCTACCAATTTCTACAGGAATTTCTGTCTTGGAATGTCTATGAGCAGTTGGACATAAGTAAATTGGTGATATTCTGCTCCTAAGAACAGTCAGAATAGTTATGCTATTAGATTCTTGCATCTGCAAGGAACTCAGTGCTGTTATCTGTGCTAGCACACTCTTTACTTCTATGAAAAAAAAAAAAAAAAAAAAAAAAAAAAACCAAACCAACAAAGAGAAGCTCATCAGAATAGCTCTGTGGAGCAGCATTTTATGACACTCTCCAAAATCAGGGCAAAACCACAGACAACTAACTGTGGGACTAAATGAGCTTGCCAGAAACACTTAATGAATTTTCCTTTCTGTGCACTCAGTTTCACCTCTCTGCTCTGCAAACTACTATATGTGAAATGACTTATAAYGCATTTTATACTTATGGAAACACCTTTTTTTTTTTTTTTCCTGAAAAATATGGTTTGGTTTATAGCTTGAAAGTAATTTTCTCTTTGTAATACATGTTCCATCCTTAAAGCTTTAATCTCTTTTTTTTACTTTTCCTGTTAGTGAGACTGTATTTCTCATAAATCACCTGCAATATCACAATGACCTCTTGCTGAGGCAGGCATAGTAGAAGAACAGACGTATAGTGGAATATAAGGTGTCATATTTTTAAGGGAGCTAGATATAGGGAATGTGGTATGCTTTTATTTCTTGTTATAGCTGTTTGATTTTCCAGTTCCCTGGAGAAGCCTATTTTTTCAGCCAGCTCTAAGATATTCCTAGGCAGCTTAAGTAGTCTAAATGTAAAATAATACACAAAATCTGTGAAAAGTAACTCATTTAGTAATTCTAACATATGCAATTCTAAGGAGTCTAAAACTGCACTATGGGGGAACTCTCACAAAAATATTTATTGCCTACCTACACTATTCTCTTATGGTAAAGAGCTCTTTATTTAATCAAAAACTGTCTTTTTCTATAGTCACTCTAGCCTCCCCAAAAAAACCCCAAAATAGTATCTAGTAAATTTTGGGCATTGTAAGAGTATGCTTTTCAGAAAGTATRTGTTGCTATATAAAATTCTGAAGGTATATGTACAGATGTTGAAGGAGGAAAAGGTCATGTAAATCTACCAGTTGTAAATATAATCACATACTCCAAAGGATTATTCAATAGCATTAAAAATAAAAATGATTTTAAAGTCTAATGTTTAATCAAATTAAAATGCTTCAATCGACTAAATTTTGTTATAATAACAGAGATCAAGTCTGTTACATGGAATTTTAAAAAGAAATAAAATTAACATAGGCAACTCATCCTGAAATAGAAATGACACAATGCCTGAAGGCTTATACATAGGGAAGGATCAAATCAGAGAGCCATAAATAGTGCAAAGTTTATATACACAATAAAATTCTATCTTGGGCTTCATTACATAGTAATATTCCTGCATACAGAAGCAAAATAAGCTTCTGCCACTATCCCCTAGCAAAATGAAATCTCTCTGAAGTGTTCAGTATAAAAAAGCCCATACATTATTAGTAAAAAATACCATCCAACTGTGACTGGAAGAAAGAGAATTTAGACAAAAATATATATAAAGCACAGTACCTTAATATTTTCGAAGCAATAATAGTCACATTCACTCAGGTCACATTGCTCTCAGGTGTGGAGGCAATTTTGTATAGATCTGTAACCATAAACAGTCTCTGCCCACCCAGGCATGCAGTATTCAAGTGCTGTGGTTTGGCTAAAAATGGATCTCCACAAATATCATGACAAAAATGGTTTGTATATTATTTTGATCTGAATTTCCATAAGGTCAAACAATTTTCACTCAAACTGAAATGCTGGAAACAAATCTGTTCCAAATTCTGYGGCAGAGAATATTTCAATAGAAAGTGTATGTGATCTATCCTTAGCAATTGTATCAGGTCACATAACCCATTACAGGGAAATATGTAGCCCGTATGTCTGAACCCTCTGTCCTTTTAACCAAAAATAACAGTGACCGTGCCTAGAGTGTACTATTTCTTGTACCTTCCAGGCAGGTAATGGAAGACGCCTGAGCCACTTTGCTCAGTCCATCAAGACATCAATCACAAGAAGGCAGAGTGGGCCAGGAGAATTGATTTCAGTGACTTTTCTTTTTTTTTTTTTTTCCAATAAGCTGCCTCGAAAAACTGAACAAGTAGAAAATAAAAGCAGAGCCCTTTATGCCACCAAATTTGCATGAAAAAAATAACAATATTAGCACTAGCTACTAATATTTAATTATTTCTATCCTTTTACCTTTGCTTTTGTTGAACTTTATGAGTTCCCTCCTAGCCAATTTCTACAGCCTGTGTAGGCTGTTCTTAATAACATACTTGCCTTCTAGTGTGTAGATTTCTCTCCTCGTTTTGATATTGTTCGCAAAACTGAACTATGACCTGAACTGGACCTGTGAACAAACTCCTGACTTCAGACTATCAGCTTTCTAGCATAATTCTGTACAGTAGTATTAAGCTATATCCACACTCTGAAGTGAAACAAATACCAAATGGCCCAATGCCATAGAACATCAAAAGAAAGCAATTTCAGGAGAAGAGTGCCAAAGGCAATGAAGCTTATATTTTCTAATGTATTTAGGTGAATAATCACATCTGTTATTGGCTTTCTGGCAGCAACTTTTTGTTCTGGCAGCCTTTAAAATGACTTTTTCTTTATAAAAATATGTGCATGTGTCTTTTTTAATCAAATAGCAACAATTCAAATGCTAATTTATAATTCCTTTATTCATTAATATCATTATAGAACTTTGCAAAACTTTAATCACTATGGGATAGGCTTTATTATATTCCAATACTTTGGAGAAGAGAAAGTTTCATAGATAAACTATTAGCAGAGTATAGTTTTTACAATACTCTTTTAGCCACCTCTTTGAAGAATGTCAGACTTAGCCAGACATATTAATGATTATGATTAAATATGGTTAAAATACATTTGAAAACTCTAAACAGCAAGGCAAGAAACCGTATCTTAGAACACCTTTATGACTCGTAGGTGGTTATTTTTTTCTGATAGGAGTGACATGTACAGAAACAGGAGTATTTATTTTAAACGGTCTATATTATTTTAAACACAAGGACAACAAAGTCTTTGTTCTTCTTCTGAACAATATGCACTATATTGAATGACGAATACACCTGTCATGACTCAAACCTAATTCCTGTCTTATTCATAAGAAAACCTATTTCCTTGGGCCTTCTCTGAAGAAAATGAGGAAAAGCTACATTTATACCTACCCAGGCCTGAAAGAACAGTCTCCAGAGGAGCTGTCAGGATGGAATACTCCAGTTGTGTTCACGTGACTACAAACAGATACCCCTAAAAGTCAGTTTCTGTAGCTTTAATCTCACTAGTAGGTATGTTAAGTTTCTTTTCCTTATCAGAAATCAGGTAAGATGGTTATAATGCATATGGTATATATATTTAAAATAAAAATTGTAGAAAAAAAGATGAAGAAACTTACAAAAAACATCTCCTCTAATGCTTTGCTCTTGGTTGATCTGATTCTCAAAATCTTCCTTTTTTTCCTCTTCTATGTCCTCCATCTCCTCTGCTCTAGCAATCTCAGTCTCTTTTTCACTGTAGCTCCCACCAAGATAGGTACCACCTCCATAATCAAATGGCTGCAAGTGGGCCTTAAAAGCTGGTGTCATGGCTGGTTCTGGAATTACATTCTTCATTGCTTCATGTTTTTTCACACTATTTTTATGTACAAGAAGTTTCTTAATTGTGTCCTTAACTGCTCCAGGAGTTCTTGGAATTTCCTTCACAGACTTTTCAGAGATAACTAGGATCAACAAGAAAATATTAAATATTCATCTCAAGAATCMTTACCAGAGTATTTATTAACAGTACCAAATAGCCCCTTATAACCTCCAGAGATTATCCAGATTATCTACCGAGAAATGTAAATTAATCTCTGCACGGAACCAAATCTATACGCATTAGCTATGCACTTAGCTAAGTCGTATTTACAACCTTCTGATGTGGTAAAAAAATGAAACCAAATCCTCTTTAGTAAGTTAAATTGGCCTTGTGTGCAATACAGGTCAGGCATTATATTGTTTTTTACACTTGAGTTTGAAAAATGTCTTTAGCCTTTTTCCATCTGTGAGATATTAGAAGTTGTCCACAGAGGTGTGCTTCCCTATATAACAAGTGTCAGCAGTGAGCATTTTTCCTATCATCCACAAATTCTGACCTTACATTCCTTGCTCACACTCTGAAAGGCACTGAATTTTGTCAGATTTTTAGTATTTTATGATTCCTCTTTGCTACAAAATTCCAAAAGGATAACTTGCTTTTTATATTTTTGCAACTTCTGATGTTGATCAGAAACAAAAAAGATTGTTCTAGTCTATAAAACAACAACAAAAAATTATAAAAATTAAAATTGGTCTTTTTTTCACACCTAGTCTTAAATAAAGTGTAGATAAATATCTTCCAAATTCAAACAAAAAACTTCAAAACCACATTGATAGGATTCCTATACGAYATTTTAACATATTTATAGCAGCTCTAATTGTTTGTTAACATGCTGAAGTCCAAGACATAAGCCCTTTAATTCTTTCTAAATTCCATTGCTCTCTTTTTGCTGTCATCAAATCACCGCAGTTGGGATGCTGGAATGAGCTTTTTTTTTTTTCATTCACAGGACATCAAGATTGATTCTACACTAATGAGGGTACCTAGTAACAGCATAAAGAGAGTCTAGAGAAAGGTTGCTGGTCTGCTGTTCTACATGAAGATAGGAAAATAGTCAGTTTACAGGACACAAGGAGAGTTTTCTGTTAAATATCACAAAAAAAAAAAAAAAGACATTACAGCATTGTAAAACCTAGGAGCAAGCCACTTAGACTCTGAGATATACCACTTTAATTTTTAAAATTGTTAGATTAACATCTGTCATGAGTACGATTGACTAGGGAAAAAGAATATGCTTCAGAGAAAAAGAACAGACCGGCTGATATCATCTAATCCCTTTCAAATGTACTTTTCTTGTCACACATATTAGTGTGAATTAATCACATTTTCTTTAAGTCAAATGCAACTATATTTTTGGTTCATTATCCCAGGAGCAAAACCAGACTGCCTTGGTTTACTGGAGCATTCAGATTTTCTCAGGCTGAAATTGCAAGTATAAAGTAAACGTATTTTAATTAAAAAAAAAAAAAAMAAAAGAGTTTTTTTTCTTTTTCCTTTGCCTAGCTTGCCTTATGCCTGAAAGTAATCCGTTTACTAATGCTGCACTAAGCAATCCTTTCCTCTGGAGGATATTATGAAGAAGGCACTATATAATTCACTCATATGTAATGTGGTCTCTGAATCTGAATTCAGAATGCAGCAACAAAAACTAACATGAAAAGTTCATTCCAAACAAATTTCTTCTTGATAATCAGTAACATGAAACTCCAGGCGTTTAATAAAGATGATATGGATGTTTTCAAGCCAAGACAGATTGCCCAGCAAACCAGAACATCTGCTCTTTTTTTCTGCTTCAAAGTCTTCCTAATGAAATGAAAAATTCTTACAGCTCAGTATAATAACCTTTCTTGGTGTCAGAAAGCCAATCTTCCTGTGTGTGCAAAACCAAGCGGTGCAGAAAATCAGCTGGCAGGAACATCAAACATATATGGATGAAAGTGTATGGTCTGCACCTSCCTGCAGACTTCAGTTTGCTGCTGCAGTGTGAAAATCTGAATGTTTATGCTTTATGTCAARAACAAAGAGGAACAAGGCATTAGGTAGATTTTAGTAGATATTACCTAATATAGATGCCATTTTAGAGTAGCTTGAGGTGTGAAATAAAGGCCTTTTATCAAAAAATTGCAGTAGGAATTGTTCACTTTAAAGGACAGATCATCTTAACCTCTCTCTTCTGCAGAACCTGTGGGCTTGGGTAAACGAACAGCTCAAGTTCTCTGACAGTCTGGGATGCTAGGGCTGAGATAGTGGCTTTTCAGGGCCCTTTCCCTCAGTACGTACAGGTGTTGCTCACAAACATTCATGCATTTAGTCAKATATATTTAATTTTAGAAAATCAAATAGTCTGTTCATCGCAGATCTTCCTTACACACCTGCTGTTTGGAAGCATGGAGATTAAAGGCCTCCTCTTCTTAAAGAGCTTATATTTACAACTCCTGTATGAAAATATCTCAGCTCTCAAAGGTTTTTAATTCTTTGATTCAGGGACAATTAAAGCAAGAGCTGGATAAACAAAAGAAAGTGGTGGCTGAGGACTAAAAGACTTTTTTCTGCCATCACTTTCAGTGCGTGATTGCCAGATAACAAAAATGGCTTTATATAGGATACCTAACGACTGAGTTGTGAAAGTTGAGTTCAAAACAGTATATATAGAACAGATGCCATCCTCTTGTCTCTCTGCTATATTGTACAAAGGAAAATATTCTGAAGATGACACAGAAGAATGGCAGCTAGTATTCTGTGCAATATATTCAAAAACCTGGTAAGAGCCTAGGAGCTTTGTACAAAATATATTTGTATGGTTATGGGAATCCGTAGATCTGAGTACAGATGAAATCAGCAGGGCACATTTTGAAAAATTATTCCAAAAAATTACAGACTTCATTATGAAGGATGCCAGTTTCAAAGAGTCATAAGAGATTCAACAAGTTTGAATAGTCTAATGTACAGATTTTAGAGAGAGGCTATTATTCTCTTTTAAACACTGGAATACTATCTGGCAAAATATATATGTGTATCATTTATTGCATTTCTAAAGTTCTTGCCATCTTATTGAGGGAAGGATGAGTTAAAAAACCAGGGCAAATCTCTTCGATGGGATTTCATATAAGACTAATACATATATTACTAACATATATGACTAAAAYAAACATCAGTATTTACAGTAGGGAAACAGGGATGACAAAAGCGTAAGTGTTATTTCTTGAAGGACAGTATTTGAAGCAGTATTTGGCACTGGCTCCATATTGAACTGAAACATAAAAAAATTACCACTGAATGGCTTTTTAAGCTTTGAAACAATATGATGTAACCCAAACTTTTCTTGGGATTTACAAATTAACAGGACAGCAAAACTACATATAGTCTCCAGATGGGCAATAAAAAGAAAGGTCCATTGTGAATTTTATCATATTGTTCTTTGGCATGATGCCTAAAGCTTGTAAGTTTTAAGTAAGTAGTAGTTCTTTACGTTATTCTGTAACTTCCTACTTAAAAAAAAAAAAAAAAAAGTGAATTAAGGGAAGGTTCATTTTTTTTCCTCCATGGAATTCTTAGTTGCTTCTGGAAGCCTGTGGGACCTGACTTTTAAATAAAGGTTGGAATGAACATAGAAGTATGCAGTGAAGGATTTTTTTTTCAATACACAARAGGAAATCAGGAAACACATGAATCTGAGAAAAGCAATAGATTGTAGTAAGATAGAGGCCAGATGTGGAAATGCCTAGGATCCTCTGAGGGGGCACTGGAAAGGTCACACCTCTATAGGTTCTTAAATGAAACAAGTTAGAGGCAGCTCAGAAACACTTCCCAGTACATCATGCATATCTGAGTGAACATCTCAGCTCATATTCATATCAGCAGCGCTGTTTGCAGCCTATTTCATTAGCTTTCTGTTGTTAGTATATTGACATGCAAAGAAAATTAAATAAACAACTTSCCCCAATTTCTGTACCAAACTACATTACCTCTTGTTAAATTATTTAGCAGTGTGAGATTTAGCCACAGAGAAGTCTCATTATAAACAAAGTGCTTAGTTTCTCTTGCAATATTACTTTGAAAATTAAGCTATATATTGAGGATTTTTTCATTTGTTATGAAAAGCTAATTCTGCTGCCACAATAACATGTTTGCAATATTCTTTAGATAACTGCTAACAAGATATGAATGTATTCTCTCCCCAATCCAYGGGAATAACTATAGGTAATATTGAGGATCTATTTGAAAAATATTTTATCTGATAGCAAAGCTTATGACTTTTCCCCATCACTTTTACAGATCCAGCTCTTTCTAGGGATGTATTATAAAATAACTCACTGAAATATTCTAGGTTAAAAGAACCTCAAAAAAGGAAGTGTATATGTAGGAATTGCCACCCTAGAAATGAGCCTTTTTTTAGCATCTAGCTTTTCAGGTTTTACTTACCCAGTACTCACTTTTCCAGTTAGATTCTTGCTTTTTTTTTTTTATTTTATACCTTTATACCTATATTGCATTTTGTCCATAGACAGAATGAAGTTGAGCTTAAATCATAGAATCGGAGAATCACTGAGACTGAAAGGGACCTCTAGAGATCACCTAGACCAACCTCCCTGCTCAAGGAGGGACACGTAGAGCACATGGCACAGGGTGGCATCCAGGTGGATTTTGGAGATCTCCAGAGAAGCAGACTTTACAACTTCTCTGGGCAGCCCGTTCCAGGGCTCTGTTACCTTCACCGGCAAGATTTTCCTCAAATTCAGGCAGAACTTCCTGTGCTTCAGTTTATGGCCATTGTCTCTTGTCCTATAGTTGGTCACCACTGAAGAGAGTCTGGCCCCTCCCTCTTGATACCCTTCCTTAAGGTATTTGTATACACTGATTAGATCCCCTCTCAGGCTTCTCTATTCTAGGCTGGGCAAACTCTCACCTCTCCTTATCTGAGAGATTCTCAAGTCCCCTGATCATCCCTGTAGAACTATGCTGGACTTTCTCCAGTAGCTCCATGTCCCTGTTGAACTGGGAGGCCTAGAAATGCTTTTATGAACTGTGACTCATGGAATATGCACATTATTCCAGGGAGGGGTTTGCCTTGGATAGTCCTGCATCACTGTTCAGCATGATCTTTCCTAGGAATTTCTACTTATATTTAGCCCTCAGTTATTAGAGAAAAGCAATATAACACTGTTCCAGTAGTACTCACCAGAGCAATCRAATCCACTTCCTCGGTAGCCCTGTTTACATTTGCATCTGAAGGTTCCCTGGGTATTGAGGCACTCTGCATGGATGTTACACTTGTGTGTATTTGCCACACATTCATTTACATCTAGGGATAGATACAAATATTTTAGTGAAAAATTAAAACCTAAGCATTAAATCCTGCATAAAACCTAAGCTACAYGACAGCCTACTTTTGCCTATTATCAGTTTTCTGATATTGTAGGCTCTGCTGTTAGACCAGGGACCATGAGGAAAGAYTACTTAAGTTCAGCTGCAGTTGCACAACTGCTTATGTATCCATGAAAGGTGTTGAGCAGCCCAGTAAAAACAAAATGAATTTTACAGATTTTGTGAATGAGAATAGTATTCAGATTATAGATTGCACATGCTGTTGTAGTAACAAAAATACAAAAGGCACCAGGAGAATAAGAGTGATATCAATGGAAAAAAACAAACAAACATAAAAACCCTTAGTCCTCATATTTGCCTCTCACTTTCACTCACACTAGACAAAATGTAATTGAAAGTAGCATTGGGCAGGATGAGGTCTTGAGATCATCTACCTCTAACATTCCAGGCGTATATATGATGCTATGTGAAAAAAAAAAAAAAAAGTATAACTAGGAATAATTGTGTAGAAAATAGTGGCAACAAAAATAAATAGACATTAGAAGTAACTGATCGAAGTAGAAGCAAAATTCTCCTTTTGCATTTGATTTTGCTGCATCACAAGATTTTCTGATTTCTTCCACAGGAGGGAGCCAAGTTGCTGCACAAATTTTTGTACCATTTTAGTTTTATATAAATTGATTCAATTTTATGAACAAGTCTTCTGCATAATGCAGGTCAAGAAGGAGACAAGAAGAAGAAAGATTTGCTCAAAAAAATGGCATGTCTGAGGGTGAGATTCAGGTTTGCAGACTSTTTACAAGATTAGTTTGCAGATAAATCTTGACTATTCAGACATTTCTATTTTGTGAGCTAGTATCCTCAGACTAGATCAACATACTTAAAGCAATGAAAGGAAAGGTGCATGGCGTGAGAATGAAAAAGGAAATAAAGAAGAAAAATTCACGGGCTAAATCTTACCTACGCAGTTGTAATGGCCATTGATATATTTCAGTTCATATCCAAGCCGACACTTGCAATAATAGCTTCCAAACGTGTTGACACATCTGCGGTTGTAAGAGCAAAGAGTTTTGCCACTGGAACATTCATCAATATCTAGAGCAGGAGAACAGACACTGGTCAGATCCATGAGAAGGCAAAACAGGACGAAAGAACTAGTGGGATTTACACAGGGATGCTTTGGTCTTTGCTGTCACATAGAACTTGTATAACGATAATGAAAAAGCCCCATAAMTGGGGCTTTGGGATGCATTTGCATGTAGTAATGGGAATGAAGCAGCAGAATGTGARGTAACTTTATGGAAGATCTTGAAACCTGGCATGGTAAGAGTTAGGGCAACTGACAGTGGATACCCTGCCCACTGTGAACGATGATTTGGATCCATAAATGTTAGGATTTTGCTTTGTTTTTTTACCTATATACATGTARAACAGAGAAAGTGCACACAACAGTGTGCTGCTCTTCTCTTCAGACCCAAGATTAGTGCAGCGTTTTCAGAGGATTAAGTTAAAATTAACAGAGAACAAGGATTTATATGTCTATAGTTTCTGTGATTAATACCTCAGAGTACTTTACAATCTTTTAAGGATTTATCATCATGACAGGAAGTTGCAATCTCTTCCATTTTAGAAATGGAGAACTGATTACAAAAAAAAGTGACCTACCGAAAGTCATGCATGAAGAAGGAGCATGACATTTTCAGCTACAGGACAATAATTTTGTCTATTTTATCTTAGATAATTTTTAGCAATATTCTTCTAGATCCATTTGATCAGGCAAGGTAAATACAAATAAACATAATACAAGAGAATAAAAATAGGTGTCTGAAGAATTCAGAGGAATATTTAAGAGAAATACTCAGCTATTGTATATGAATACATACCACAATACTGTTCCCCTTCAAATAGCTCTTAAATAATTCAAAGAAATGTTATCTATGTTAGGCAGTATCCTGAGAGCTTTGCTGATTGCTTAGAGCAGGACATTTCTCATTACAAACCTTTTTAACTTGAAAGAAATGAACAATGTTCTTTATAGTTTGAATGTAAAGCCATATGGATTTACTCTGTAACTCCTGAAAGTGCTAAAACCCTCTCAGGCCATACAAAATTGATGTRCATATTGCTATTGCAGCTGTACATTATGGAAAACAACTCAAATGTAACTGTCCTTTTAGATAGCAGTGTCTCTTGATTGATGTATTTATTTAATCTGTTGTCTGAAATGTTAGGCATAATATCATTTCAGCTTATTAGAGCTAAAATTTATTTTCCGTGTGACATGTTAATCCTTTCAACATGTAAACCATTCATATAATTGTATAATTAATTCAACCAAAAAGTATTGGTAAGTAGCATCTTAAGTGGGGGTAACTATTCATGCTGGTGAGGATGCCTAATTATTTTTTAACCTCTCCATATATATTTTTTGGCATCCTACAGAAAAGCAGCAGACAGTAAACTTTTTAATCATACCAATGCATGTTCTCCCATTTGGTCCCAACTGAAGGCCCACTGATGGACAAAGACACTGTACTTCCCCTTGGACTTCTTTACATCCATATTGGCAGTTTACTATGGCACATGTCCTGGAGCCTGAAAAAAGTATTAAAAAAATAAAAAAACCTCCAGGCTTGGATTACACAAGTTTTATTATTAAATTAGACTTGCATGAATGCAGAAAACTCATCAGAAAAACAGAATTCCATTCATCATTCTCAACAGCCAATAATCAAGCTGTTCATACATAAAACATGTTTTAACAATATAATTCAGCAGTCCTTGAAATAGATCTTAAATCCCCTTTCTCACCTTTTGATTTTGATCTTTCTTTATCTGCTCTTACTCCTCTGCTCCAAGTTCTGTGTTTTCTTGATGGTATTTCCATACTCAAAGATACARAAGTGTTCAAAGTAGAAGAAAGCTTCTTTTTCCCTTTGCTATAGGCTACAGTTTTGCCAGACAGAAAACATACTGTTCTACATTAAGTATGGTTCTTGTATAAAAAATATTATTACCTGGTATAAAAATTTTTAAYCTGATGGACGTACAGAATGTCCTTTACTCTGAAATAAGTATGAAGCTGCTTTATGGAATGGAGATTGGCAAGTAAATATCTTCGGGGACTAGCCTCTAAATAGAGTTGTGGGGCTCTAGATCTTGTCTGTGAGAAGTATTACACTGCAAAATAGAATCACAGAATATTCAAGGTTGGAAGGGACCTCTAGAGATCATCTAGTCCAACCTTCCCACTCAAGCAGGGACACCTAGAGCATGTGGCACAGGGTGGCATCCAGGCGGGTTTTGAAGACCTCCAGAGAAGGAGACTCCACAACCTCCCTGGGCAGCCTGTTCCACTGCTCTGTCACCCTCACAGTAAAGAAGTTCCTCCTCACCTGGAGACGGAACTTCCTGTGCTCCAGCTTATGGCCATTACCTCTCGTCCTATCKCTGGCTGAATGAAAAGAGCTTATCTCCTTCCTCCCTGCATTCTCCCTTCCTGAACTTATACATATTAACCATATCCCCTCTYAGCCTTCTCTTCCCCAGGCTAAACAGGCCCAGCTCCCTCAGTCTCTCCTCGTACGAGAGATGTTCCATTCCCTTAAGCATCTTAGTTGCTCTCCGCTAGACCCTATCTAGAAGCTCCACATCCCTCTTATACTGGGGAGCCCAGAACTGCACACAGTAYTCCAGGTGAGGCCTCACCAGACCTGAGTAGAAGGGTAGAATCACCTCCCTTGACTTGCTGGCAACACTCCTCCTGATGCAGGCCAGGATCCCATTGGCCTTCATGGCCACAAGGGCACACTGCTGCTTCATGGTTACCTTGGTGTCAACCAGGACTCCCAGGTCCCTCTCCGTGGAGCTGCTTTCCGGCAGGTCGACCCCTAATCTGTACTGGTGCCTGGGGTTATTCCTCCCCAGGTGCAGGACCCTGCACTTGTCCTTGTTGAATCTCATGAGGTTCCTCTCTGCCCAASTCWCCARCCTGTCCAGRTCCCTCTGRATGGCAGCACAGCCCTCCGGAGTGTCGGCCACTCCACCCAGCTTGGTRTCATCTGCARACTTACTCAGGGTGCRCTCCGTGCCCTCCTCCATGTCATTGATGAACAAATTGAACAGCACYRRGCCCAGTACTGACCCCTGGGGGACACCACTGGCCACAGGCCTCCAACTGTACTCKGCCCCATGTATCACCACCCTCTGAGCTCTGCCATTCAGCCAGCCCTCAATCCACCGCACTGTGCATTCATCTAGTCCACTCTCCCAGAGCTTCCGTATGAGGATAGTATGGGAGACGGTGTCAAAAGCCTTGCTYAAGTCAAGGTAGACAACATCCATGGCTCTCCCCTCATCCAGCCAGCTAGTCATCCCATCATAGAAGGCCATAAAATTCAACACACATGACTTCCCCCTGGTGAATCCATGCTGACTGCTCCTCAACGCCTTCTTCTTCTTCATATGCCTGGAGATTCTCTCTAGGATGAACTGCTCCATCACGTTTCCAGAGACGGAGGTGAGACTGACCGGCCTGTAAGTGCCCGGCTCCTCCCTCTTGCCCTTTTTGAAGACTGGAGTGATGTTGACTCTTTTCCAGTCCTCGGGCACCTCCCCTGCTCTCCAGGACCTCTCAAAGATGATGGAGAGAGGCTGAGCAATAACCTCAGCCAATCCCCTCAGCACTCTTGGGTGCATCCCATCTGGGCCCATAGATTTTTGAGTGGCCAGTTTGTCTAAGTGATCCCTAACCCAATCCTTCTCAGCCCGCAGAAGGTCTTCCTCTCGCCCATTTATATCTCTTCCACTTGAGCCCTGCAGTTCATGGGGRGTCGCCTTAGCAGTAAAGACAGAGGCAAAGAAGGCATTTAGTAACTCTGCCTTCTCGGCATCCTCCATCACCAAGGCCCCTTCCCCATCCAGCAGTGCACTAACATTTTCCCTTGTCTTCCTCTTGCTGTTGACATACTTATAGAAACCCTTCCTGTTGTCTCTGACATGCCTCGCCAGAAGGCCAGAAGTATCATAAATACATAGCGACACATTTCTAAACYCTTGAAGATACCCAGAAAGCATCAGTAGTATGATATCGGGGAGAGTAGAAGAGTTTGGAAGTGCTTACCTAAAGAGAGGGAAGCATGATCAAAGAAATTAATCTGCTATTTCCCCCTACTTGTGTTCAGGGAAATAGAACTTTGCAGAGGTTCTTTGCAAATGAAAAACTTGAAACAATTGCCTACTTGTTTGATATAAAAACAAATCACAAACCCTTGAACACTGACTTGCATCTTAAAAGAAGATGCTAATTTCATTTTAAGAAAAGCACATCAGAAGTACCTCCACTTTCAGAATTACATGTAATAATGAGAGTTATAGACAAGATGGTATGTGCAGATGCCTACATAGTAATAGTCAGGTTAACAGCTTGAACTAGGTGGTCTCCATCTTGTTAAGGAGATTTACATCAGAGGATTTGAGGCAAAAGGAGCAACATTGTCCTCAACATATTTGTTTGAATAAAACAATGAGAATTTCTGCTTAGAAAAATGGAAGTTCTTTGGAATCAGAACATGATAATTTTCCCCCAACAAAACTGTTATAGAAAGATAAGAAGCTTCCTCAAGTCTGAAAAAATGTGTTGAGTTTGAAAACAGAATGCTTTCCATCACATGCTGGCTTAGGTCAAGGGAAATTGATAGAAATACAACTTCAATAAGACCCAGTTGAGTAGAAAATTGTGTGTAGGCAGCTGATGCCAGCTGTGGGAAGAATATCAGCACTCAAAGAAGCTAAACTAATTGGAAAGCAAGAAGCAATAGGATAAATTTCAGCATAGTAAAGTGCAGAGTGAAGTGGTTTTTCGTTTGTAGAGGTTCATTCATCTTACTCAAGACAGATGAACTGGCAGGACTGGACACCAAGGTTTTACAAGCTGTCCTTCAATTGAACTGACAACAAAGGCTTTTATTTGCATAGGACAGAAATGTCTCTAAACACCAAAAATACAGCTCTGACCTAGTTTACTTCATCTGTATATACTGCCAAATGCAAAAGCCCCCTCAGGTAGAGATGGAATCAGGATGCTGAGGCATATCTTAAGTAAACTAGAGAAGAAACTACTGYGATCAGATGCAAGTATGGTGACTTTGGTGTTCCTGTCCTATCTGTTGTTTACTTACTTGCACATTTTCCATCTGGTATAAGCATGTACCCGTTAAGACAGTAGCACTTGTAGCTGCCATGGGTATTCATACACCTGTGCTCACAAAGACGGGGTTTCAGGCCGCATTCATTCAGATCTGCAAGAAGTCATTGAAAGGAAATTAGYACCTGGTTTATACATACATACACACACACATACACATACATATACACATATGGATTGATAATATTGCCTCCTAATGCCTTAAATTCCCCACAGTACTATCATTTGCATGGAAAATGAGTCAGACAGCCAGAAGATGAGATTTCAAGGGACCATCTGGCTGAGAGAGTGCTAGAAAATTAACATACACAGACTGCTACACCTGGAAACTAATGCAAACTCTGGCAACCTCTGCTAGTTTTTAGGAGGAGGAGAAAATTACATTTACAATATTTTCTGGGAGTTATTATTCTGAATTTCTTGCTTTCTAGTTGGGGATTTGGTTCTCCAGCTGACCTCTGCACTAGAACTGCTAAAGCATATGAGAGTAAGAACAAAATCAGATTGAGATAAAGTGAACCAGAGACATCTTTTCTGTGGTGCATGAAGAGTGAAAGGCTGTTTGGGAGAGGTGAAAGGCCATGTGATTTCAGGAATAAAAAGACTTTATCTTAACTCCTTTTCAAAATCTAGGATTTAAAAGGCTTTGATAGAAGCTGTATTTAACAGGCTTTGAAAGACGTGGCAAATTCCTATTAGCTACATTGCACATGGAGAAAAACACAACCCTAAGATCAAGCTTGTGGTATAAGCTCTCCTGAGAACAGGGCCTACTGAGAATAGAGCATAGCACATCTGTACTTGTGACTTCTGTGAACTGACAGCTATGTCTCGCATATCTGAAACATTATTAGTATGACAAAATACAGCAGCGTACACAGACCATTCCATGTGTCTAATGACACATGTGACTAGTAACATAATTTCAGTAAATATGCAAATCTCCAAGTCCTGAGCTTGCACAGTTCCAGTTGTAACAAGAGAAGCATCTCTTCTCATGTTTATGTAGCCTGACAGCCAGATTAAAAGCAGGCTATTCAGAGTACAAGCTTTGTGGTTATATGTGTGTACAAGTACTTGTTCCAGCTCAGTCCAGGGCAGTGGAAAAAAAAAAAAAAAAAGAAGAGAAGAAGAGTTGCATTCCTTTATTCATAGCTAGGTTGTCCATTTTCAAGCAGACCCGGTTAGTTTGCAGCCAACTTGGGCTTCTTGTTCTACTGCGGTTCCACTTAATAACCAGGATTCTCATATCAGAAAGAAAGTAGAGGGGAAAAAAAAATAAAAGTTAAAAAGGAGTTTTACTTTGGCCATAGATTTTCAAAGGTGCCTAGCTACACCTACATTGCAAAATGCACAATAGTGCAGAGATAGCACAGAGCTCCAAGAGAACGTATGCAGATAAGACTAATTAGCTCAGACTGGATAGCAGACTAATGCAGTTCCTTTATCTATGTTACTTTAGTTATCACATGTTGAGCTTACTCAAGAAAGCATTTTGCTGTAAGAATAGACCAAGGTTGCCCCTATCAGAAAATTAAACAGCAGCTCCAGGCATATGCCAGTCCTTGACACTGGCATATGAACAACTATACAGCTCTGCTGCTGGAACAGCTCCAGCAAGTTTCTAGCCCATGCCACCAGCTTCCTAAAACAATTCCTGGCCGTGTTTCAGGAGTCAGAAMACACCAGGAAGCTAACAAGCACTTTGCATTTAGTGAAGTGATGCTGATGCTTCTGAACCTGGACCACAGTGGCTCATCTGACCATTCGGTGAAGTTTTATGGTACTGTGCAGAAGCTCTGCCATGGCCATGAATATAGGTCTACCAAGGGTTTCCATTAAGCCTCATACTTCGAATCTACACCTACACAGAGCTGATGTCCTTGCACAGAGAACATCCCACACAATTGGAGTACCTGCACAAGGAGGTCCTATGAGTTGGGGCCTTATTTGTTACTTTTAGGTAACTCCTAGGCTGCCAACTCAATTTTTGATTTAGAGGTTGAAGCTTAAAATGGTTATATCTATTAGGCGTACATATGGTTATATGTATTAGGCATACATATCTGCATACCTATTAGGCATATCTATTAGCTTTTCTCTAGAGGTACCAAAGAATTTCCCTCTAAGCAACAACAAATGCGCAAGAGGAAAAGTGAGAGGAGTTTTCTAAAATATTTAACAGGATAACTTCATAGCATGTTATTTCAAGGATATAAAAGGATTCTACAATGGGATTGTTTTAAGTAAATTCTGAAAGAAAAAGTGATTTTAGTATGTCAATTTAACATTTTCAAGCAAAGAATACAGCTGCTAAGGAGGGTACCAATAAAAGACATACATTAATCTGGCCCTTACTTCATTCTTCCTCCATGGCACTTCCAGATCACTCATTTGCACTGAAGTATTCTATCCTCTCTCTGTGCACAGTAACATGTCCCTTTCATCTGACCCAGCACGGATGTTTTATATATTGTATCAGAAAAAAACATATGGTATTTCTGAACATGCATTTCAAAGACTCACAGTTATGTATTCTCAAAAAAATACCATTCAGCATATGCAAAGTGATGGCATTGGCCTCAGCAATTTGAGAAATTATATGTCTAGAAATCCTTCCTGAGAAGAAAGAGGGTAGTWATGGAAAGAAAATGGGTTCTGGATGCAAGTACAGCTCTTCAAAGAATTTCTTATACAATCTCTCTGTAYAAACCTGTACAAATGACATGAGTTGTTTGCCCTGGTTATCAGTTTGCAGGAGACACATGATGTAGGCTCAGACTTCTGAGCACTGAAGGAAGCCTGAAGCTTACATGTTCAGCATCCAAGACAAGTGCTGTAACGATAAGCTCTTCTACATAAACAAGAAATTGTTGCTTTACTATTTTTGAAGAGAACACAATCATTCACATAAGATAAGGGGACAGAACAATAACAGTCTGATTTCTGGAGTGGTCTCACCATATGCACCAACCTTGACTACAGGTTTTCCCTGTAAATCCAGGAAAGCATTTGCATTTGTTTGGTCCCACGCACTCGCCATACTTGCAGCCATGTCTACAGACAGCTGAAGGAACCAGGCAGAGAAAGGAGAAAAAAAGGAAAAAAGTTAGAAATATTCTTTTTAAGAAGAAATTTTGCCTTTCTTTGATGAATAAAAGCTTGCTGCATAAGTTCAACATCATCYATTCCTCACTCTCTAGCTTGGACATGGTAGCTACTGATCTGTGGATATTTCTTCCTGGGGAAAAGTGAGGCTGGTTCAGATTACACGAGCGTGTGCTTTTCYAGGTAGGTGAAGACTTGGAAAAGAGACCCCTTTTAGCTCTCTTCCACATGGTCCTTTCTGTAGTGCTACATAATCACTTCACAGCATTGTGCTGTTGTCTTTTTCCTGCTTTGGGAAAGCTGCATCTGAGGAGCAGCTAGCCAACATCTTGACCTTCTATGCTTGACACCTCAAGGTGGGAAGAGACAAGAGCTCTCCTGCAACCATCAACAGCTTATTACCCGTCAGCAATTTTCCACTGTTTTCTCTTCCCACTTACAGTTGAGGAACATGTCCATCCCATGGCAGAATCTCCAGAGCACATCCATCAAATGATCAGAAAACTATTGCTACCACATGTCCCAAAGCATATATTTGCATCAGATTTACAGTGAAATGAAGTAGCTGTGAGAAGCTTGGATGAATTGAAGAGAAAATGTTTTCTAGCTCTCAGTTCTCTGGATCATTAATAAAAAATTAAACGTTGTTTTTATCAAGGTTTGACTTTGTTTTTAGTAACTCAGATGAACAATCTCTTCAGGTCAATTTGATGACGTTTTTCCAGCAAAAGTAAAGTAGACATGCATTTAAACCAGCACTAGCTCTGAAAAAATGTATAAAAAAGTGAAATATAGAGAGATGCATCTCCAGCTGCTTCATGTAACTAAATTATGTGAAGTATAGGAAAGACGAGAGACATGATGTTACCTACTATATTGTATGTTAGAATTCTTACAGCTGTAGTCCAGTCTTACATTTAAAGATTTATTCAGAAATATTAAGCCACTAAATCTRCAAATTAGGGCATAGTTAAAGACCACCCTTGCCTCTGAATGCGAAATGTCATAACATGAGATCAACAGAGTATTAACTATAAAGCAGAGAACATCACTCCTTCTCAATTTACAATTAAAAAATACATTGTAATTTAAATGTTTGCCAAAGAACAATTCTAAATTTTATCAAACTAGAGTCTGATAAGAAAACAGTCTATTGTTTTAAAATGAGACAACTTTCTCCACTGGCTCATCTAAGCTGTATTTACAACTTGTACCTCCAGGTATTCACTGGCACAAAAAATCGGGCAATATAAAACTATCAATAAAGATGTTCATTAGTCTTTTTTTCAACAAGCTGTACATACATACAGAACAGAGACTTTTTTGGTATCTTTCTCTTTTAGATATCAGTATGATGATTTTCAGATACTAATGACACAAAGTCTCTATTCAAATTCACTAGATATGCAATGCCAAAATGACTGGGACAACAGGTGTCATAACAGCTGAGAAAGAGTCCTAAAGCCCATATTTTATGACTTTTGTGCCTTCATRAATACAGCCAGAGAGATATTCCACATTACCTTCTTCTTGGAATCTTCAGAGGTTTATTAAATTAGAAACTTGTAATAAATAATTGATTCTTCATTAAATGAACAATCTGCAGACCAGAATGCTGTCTGGCTATCCAAGTTCAAGTCAGGTGCAGGTATCATTTGGTTTTTAATTTATATTTTCAGAAGTTTGAAGCCTACTGCTTCTCAGAGGCTGGGTACTTCTGAAGATAAAGAATACCAATGGATAAAATGCTTCAGGCCTTTGTATATAGCATTAGAGGACACTGYATCTTTAGTGCTTATGGTTTGAGAGCTGTAACAGAAGGTATATTTCTAATCTCATGGTCATGGATCTTTGGGAAGTTAGACAAATGTTACCTTCCAGATCTGAGAATTTATGAATCTTTATTTTACTGTTTGGCATTATTCATCCAAGACTGTTTTTAAGGAGATTGTCTCTAGAACATATTTTCTTCGCTCTCACTGAATTAGAGATTTCACTCCAGCGCAAGGTTTCTTTCCATAACTTTTGGCAGCCTCATGTGAAAACACTTAATTACTAGTGAGTACACAGCCATAGAGAAAAGACAAGCATAAAGTGTTGATGTTACCTTCACAGTGGTCCTTGTTGTTCCTTCTCCAGCCATAGCAACAATCCAACTTAGAACCAAAGTGACACAGCCCAGGTTGGGCCACTGCCACCATCTGCCCACGAGCTCTTGAGCTGCATAAGGAAGGATAAAGACCAGCTCCAGTAGGCAAACACACTTTCACACGTTGCTTCACACACTCTGTTGTACACATCCCTCATGTTTTGTCCATTTTTTTTTTGTTTCTCCCTTTTTTGTCTGTTTTTTCATTTCCCCAACTCTTGGAGCAGTCAGCAGTGTTCCTTAATGGAGGGTATAGTTGCATTTGGTTGAAGAAATAGGGGATAAATTACACTTGAGTCTATAGTGAATTAGAAAATCCTTCTAATGAAAAGCAGGGTGAAAAGAGAGCTAGAATGAGTCRTTTTTAATACGAGTGCCATTAGTGAGGCTACTGCAATTTGTATCGGATGAAGAATCAGGATTGACTATATGAGGCCATACCTTCCAGCTCTGCTACTCTGGAAGGTGAAAAAAGTGTTTTCATTGAAAAGCAGCTTTCTGGTCATCCATTGCCCYAGCACAAGCTACAGTGACATAAAGACAGCCATGGCATATGTGCAGACCAGTTACAAAACTAATGCAAGGGCAGTCCATGTGTTTTCTGGTGTTTTGGGGACTCTCTGGCCATGCAAAGGTTAATTTAATCTGCCAATAAGTCTATGTAGTTCAAAATTTTAGAACAGATCAACAGCTGCAAATGTTGGCAGGCCAGTAACACTTGTTGCCAAAGCTGTAAATCCAGTGGAAACCCACAACTGTGCAAGTCTTCTAGAGACTACTCTAAGCTACAAGGTGCCCTGTGAGTGCGATCTCCTTCGTCCTCTGCTATTATTTGCCTGTCTCGATCACATGCTTATCCCCTTTATGAAATTCTSTTCTCTACCCTAAGTCTTTTATCCCTACACTTTTTTCCATAGCACAACTTAAAATACATTCYGCTTCATAGAGTCCAGAATTTTCTGTCCCAGAAAATGTTTTATCCCACAAGCATCACTAGTATAAATAACTCTGTTTAAATATACACACTTTCAAAGATACAGATATCACTGCAGAGCTGCCTTTACAGGCAGAACTATTGACAGGAGAAGAGAGTCCAGGAGAAATGCAAAACTCATGTAGCAGAGACCCCTCCCCCTTCCCCCCTTAAWGAAAAGGTGTTTTCCTGACATCTGACATGTAAAAATATTTTGGTATTAAGTTAAGCATCTCAAAGGTCACCCAGCCTTTGGCACATGTCTGGTGATTTAGCTTGYAGGGCTAAACACAACCTCATTTCAAATAGAAGAATACATACATCAAAACAATCATGACTACTGCATGGGATTAAAAACAAGACCCTGATGGCCTCTGAACCCATAGAAAAATAAAAGCCCTTTTCATTTTGTTCATATCTGTTTCAATTCAGTATTGTACCAGCACAAATGCTTCCCTGCATCACTTGCAAGTCAAAAAAGTTGACTATGCTAGTCAAAAAAGTTGTGTTCTGCTTATACCCCAGAAAGCCCCTCTGAATTYACCTGTCCTACAGACACCCTGAAAAGATTGTTTTAAGTTAGCTTAACTATGAGATGTTCATTTCTACCGGAAGACAAACTTGCTTTTATTTAAGAATTCACTTCAAAATGAAATACATGAAAACAGAAGGTTTAGAAGGTTTAAAGTACCTGGACAAGGTCTTTTATTTGTTCTGAATTCTGCAACAAGTGTTGACTTAAAGATGAGCTTTAAGTACAGCAAAAGATGAGCTCGGTCATTGTGAATGCTCCTGCATCCCAAAGTCTGTGAGCAAAACCATTTTGGCCAGGTCATCCTCTCCCTCCCATGAGGAAGACATTTTTAATATCATAAGAAGAATCAGTCATCAGCTGCCAGAATTTCAGAATTTTATACAACAGAAGCAAGTAGAGAGAGGACGTTCATTCAGGAAGGAAGATCCATACAGGGAGAAAGTCACATGCGCCTCCTGCATATTACATGGATATGCAATGCAGACTGGAGATGCCTGACTCTCTGATCCTTTCCTGCGTGATATTATTTGTGTACTATTTCACAAGGAGTACCTAGAGTCCTAAAAAAGATTGCTACACAAGATTTTCTGATGTCCACTCAGCATCAGAAAAATGCCTTATTTGAAGAACTTGCAGCTTAAACATGGGGCTGAAGACAAAAAAAAAAAAAAAAAAACCCCAACTCTGCAGGTTGGTGATAGCATCACAACATTCTGGCATTGGATCAGAATGTAAGAAGAGGTCACAGACTGAGACATGCAGGATGTCCAAGTGGCTGAGGGGTAACCTATTTTATGTGGCTCTGACATTACTGATATCAGTAGGATGGTACTTAACAGTACAAAGTACATTAGAGATGAACGAGAAGAGCAACTACAATAAGCCAGGGCCTCAATAGTTGAGGTGACAGGGAAAGACCTGCCTGTATTAGCTGTCACAAGATTATTATGAGTCACTAACATAGAAAAACAAAACAAACAAACAAAAAAATTAAAACAAAACAGTGGAACCTTCAGCTATGTCAGTCAACATTTCATTGGTGTTGTATAGTCCAGTAGTGTTCAGTAATGTTTCAGTTTGGAAGAAAATGTGAAAGAAAAAGATGTGGAAGAAATATGAATTATATATGATATAGAATGATTATATAGTTATTAAATACTATGAGATATGAAAAATASAAAGCCCATTTTAGAACGCATGTGAAGAATTTTGCTTCAGTTTCATAAACCAAAAGAGGGAAACTGCTTGTTTCTTATTAAATGTCAGTCAGCTCAAAACCAGAGCAAGAAGGAAGAACTCTAAGACTGGAGAATAGCACAAGAACAAGAACAAATAGATTGGCCCTCAGTACTTGGAGGTGGGCATAAGAGTAACTACATAAGCTGTGAGAGGGAAGATGGTCTTGGAAGGCAATTAAGCACTTGCAGAATAATGCTTAGCTATTCTTAAGGCAGGCAGTTTCTTTCACAAAACGAGAAGGCTCTGGTGTTGTCTGTAATGACAGAAACATAGGCCTAAATGAGGCTGTTCAGTATTCGTAACCCATTGCTGAGAAAAGTTATTCCAGTCTGGAATAACATGAAAAATATAAATTTTACCTCAGAAGMCAGGTAAACTCACATAGATATATAATGTTATATAAACAGAGATAGGAGCAATACCAGGAGACAAAATTTCAAACTACTATGTTTGACTTCTTATAAAGTCACTCACTGTGGGGAAAAAAAAGATCTATGTACTTCAAAAAAAAAAAAAAGTGTTCAGAAAGTTTACATGGTTAGAGGCATCTTTCAGCTTARTATGATTGATATGGTTGGACAGCTGTCTCCCATAGAATAAATACAGAGAAACAACCACAAAAGAAAACATTACCACTAGAGTAACTGGTGAAGAGGACAGGAGGAATTAAAATGTAGCTGTATATTTGTACCTACTGATCCATAGATTTTATGTAGCTCAAAGTATTTCTACTGCTTCCATTCTTCTAYACAGTAAATAAAAATATTTTTTGCCTTGGCTTCTCAAAGTTGGTTTTTGACATAAGCAAGATCTGAGCTATTTTTAAGTAGAAACAATCAATACAATACTCCAAGCACAATGACAGTGCTGGACTATAATCCTAATAAACTAACCAAAATAAACAGAAGTAGAAACCCCAGCAGTGAAAAAAAGTTATCCCCTACATTCTTGGATTASTGATTGCACAGGGTTTAAGGCCTCTCTGAATGAGATTATGTGACAGTAACAGCTGTGGAGGAGAAATGAACAAGGAGGTCTTCAATGCTGACTTATCCACATAGATACTAGAAGTCAGTTAGCATCTGAGATGCAACATACAGTAATATGTCTTCAGACAAATTTGTCTTCAGATCATATCAAGCTTTTGTCTTTTACTAAAGCCTTCTGTGGAGAGAAACATTAAAGTTTTAAACTTTTAACCTTTTGTTTGTTTGTTTTGCTTGTAGACACGGCTGCTGAATAGATTTAGTGTTTTCTAAGATCTCTTTAAGATACTTTTGCTCAGCTCCTGCACTCGCAATAGTTGCATGCTTCTGAAGAAAAATAGTCTCTCTTATATTATTAGGAACTTCCAATTGACTATAAGGACAGGATATTATCCCTTTCTTTGATTTTTTTTTTTTTTTTTTCCTCAAAAGAAGTTTCTGGACATTGCTGCTTGCAATCAACAAATGTCAAATAACCTACCTAAAATTTTGATCCAACCATGTAGATAAAATGACAAAAATATGTTATTTTACTACTTAGCAAGTTGTAACGCATTTCCAAGAGGTGTATTAGGATCTTATGTCACACAGAGAAACATTTGAACATTTTGCCAAAAGAAGGCATAGATTTTATTTAATAAATTTATTTGAAGAGCAATATTCTTCAAGAAAAAAATCACCGGCCACACACTGCTAAGTAAACAAAAACAAAACAAAACAAAAAAAACCCAAAAAATCCATCTGCCAACATCTAATGAGTCTCACAGATCCTCCTTTAGCCAGTTTCAGATACACAGTGCAATGACAGTCCTGCTTCACCGTGAGCTCTTTCTGAAACACCAAGTGATAAAAACTTTGGGTCGSTATATGCGTCAGGGAAGTCCTCTATGGCTTCCAGTGGCCACAAAATTCCTTAAAGCAAGTTCTCAGAATAGAAAATTTAATATAAAAGTCCAGATATGAAACTCTCACCTCTTGGGGACAGAAATAACCAAAATGTATTCTTTTTTCTTTCTTTTTTTTTTTTTTTTCAAAATAGTTCTGATGTTTACTATATCCTTTCCTTTCTTCAGATCCAGTATCATATCTTTGCCCTCTTTAACTATAACCCCATCATTTAAGCCTTTCATAACGATTTTTAAAAACTCTCCTTTCCCCTTCCTCACTACAGAAAGAATAGAATGATAATCCTAGTTAAAAAAAAAAAAAAAAAAATCCCCCTCCCTATATCTGCTGGGATGAGAGATGAGACAATGTTGCAGAGCAATTAATCCCAACTGCAGGCTTCCTGAGTTACTTTGAAACAATGTCTTGGTGGTTTTTTTTTTTTTTTTTTTTTTTTTTTTAATCCAACACATCCATATTTGACTCAGCTAACTCCAGGCTACTCTTTCTTCTGGAGGAACATACTGATCTCCTTTTACAGTTACACACCTTCCAAGGTGTGTGAAATACAAAGCCACAAAATCTCAAGGCATAGCAGGAGCATAATCCCTTGAGAAAGGTGCTCTGCTCCAAGAGAATATATGTTTCCTATAAAAGCAAGTCTGGAGTTTATAGATTCAGGGGCTTATGCAGTTCCTGAAAAGTTCCTCTTGGCAGCCTTGAGGGTGTTGGAAGAGGAGATTTCCACTTGCTGGTAGCAGCCAAAACTGTTCACAAAACTGACTCTAAGCAAATATACCAGGCAGCACCTTGAAAACTTTGTAATTAACCACTGTGGATTCCCCTTTCACTAGTTACTATTTTGCTGCAATATTTGTGGCCTCTGATTTAACTGTCGAAAATTCAGGAGGCAAAATCCTGGAATGGCTTAATTTCTAAGTCAAGAGTTTTATTCAGCCTCTCTCAAAAGGATACTCTGTTTTAGGAGTTTACCTGTGCCTGCAGAGTATTAGAATTGTCTTAATTCTTGCACATTGATTTTGAAGGATCTATTCATACATGCAATTGAAACGCTTTAGTTCTTCATACCTTTCTACACTTACTGTAACTGTTCCCATCATGCCTATCCTCAGTGTGTACCAGAGATCCCATTTTTCTCCATTGCAGAGAAAAAATCCTTGGTGCTGCTATTTTACCTAAACTTAATTCTGCAGCGGCTGAGCCAGTGGGAAAGCCCTGATGACTTTGCTAAGTGCATTCAGCYCCATGAAACCACGACCAGGTCACATCGGCTGTAGAGCAGTGTAGGCTTCAGCGCCTCTTAGTCAAGTGGTAGCGACCAAAGAGCCCCAGCGGGAGGACACGGAGTGACCAGGTGGCAACCTGAGAGGCGGGAGGTGCTGCTCCGGGAATGGCCGCTGCCCTCCAACAGGGAAAGGGGACATTTCCSCAAGAGAGGGGGCAGCCCGTCACGGGGCGGCAGCGCCCCGCGCATCCTAGGGCATCATCGTCCTGACGCCCCGCGCATCCTGGCCCACCGCGCATCCCGGCACATCATTGCCTGGGAGTACCGCCCATCCCAACCCCTCCCGACCCATCCCGACGCATCCCGGCGCTCCGCGCGTCCCGGCGCATCCCGAGGCATCTCGCGCAGCCCGGCGCAGCCCGGCTCACCTGCCCGCGGCGAGCAGCGCGGCGGCGAGCAGCGCGGCGGCGAGCAGCACGCCCCACGGCACCCGCACCATGGCCCGTGG